TTGGTTGTTGGTTGGTTATGGGGATAACAAGCCTTTATTTTACTGGACTTCAGAAAATGAAGGATTTTGAGACTAAATTACCAGAACACAGCATATAACTTAAATTTAATGACCCATTTCTTACCAGTAACTTATATTTTAGCATACAGTTACTTTATTGTTTTCGCACTTGGTTCAGAATTATTGATATTTTACACTTGCACTGAATCTTTTGGCACTGGATTCTCTTCAGTTGTTCAGAAGAATAACAGCTTATCCATTTTGGGGGAAAAAAAATCAGTTGTGCAAAGTTATGTGTCAGAACTTTTACAGAATCATCCTCCAAGTCTGTAAAAAGTAGAGGCTGATTATTTAGAAACTAAAAGCTTTCCAGTTATCTATTGCATACAGCAGAGGCTTGGAATTCATATCCTGGCTATTTATAATCCCTTCTATTTGCCTGAGAGACGTTCATTAAACCAAATAGCACTGTTTTGTTTAGTGGTTATTTTGGAATACTATACCAATTTAACTGGCTTGAATTGCCTTTTAAATTGTCAATGCTGTTTATCCAGATCCTGAGCTAATATAAATTTAGGAAAAGCTTCTTTAAAATATATGGAACTGTACTGAAGAATGTGCCAGGCTCACAGTGAATGCCAGTGATCATCCCTGGCTCAAGCTGTGTATGACCTACCAGCTCGCTCAATTCCTTTACACAGGTATGAGCTAGAAAGTAGGAATCAGAAGTTGAGGGAGAAGGAATCCTGTAGGAAAGGGATGATGACAAACCAGTATCTGAAATACTAATAGAATTGAAGGCAAGGTAATACAAAGTGTGTTGTTTTTGGTAGTTGTTACTTCTCAAATTGTACTTCATATATGAAAGCAACTACAGTAATAACAAACTGCTTATGCAAAAGTAGGTCAGGTTATAGTTGCCATAGGAACGCTAACACTATTTTCAGACTACTTAAATTCTTAGCTGCATTGCCATTATTACCTGGAACTTTTAGCTTTATTGGTAAAAAACACAAACTTTTAGCTTTTGTCTAAGCTCTTGTATTCATGGGCTTTCATGTCTGTGAAACAGTGTTTGAGTGGGGTGTCCCCTTCTCCAGCTGTCTTTATTTCCTCACAACTTGGTTTTTTAAATCAAAGCCCTATAATGGAACAAGTTTGTTATATTTCATGGCATTTATTACATAATGGAAGCTTGAGGGAACCCAAGAATGTTTTGTTTTGGTGACAATTAAATGGGAATAGTGGTTTGCTTTCAGGTAGTTGAAAGTCTGCCATAAAAATGGTTTCCATAGAGGCCAGGGCACAAAGCAAAGCTGCACAACGTGGATTTAGATTGCATCTATGGGGTGGGGGGGTGGAATTCCCTGCCATCAGAACAGCCAGACAGTAGAATAAGCTGTCTTGGGAAGTTGTGGATTCTTCATTGGAGGTTTTCAAGAGCTGCCTAGGCATTTCTCTGCATGTATATAGGAACAGCACATACTGCATTTGTGCAGGAGGCTGGACTAGGTGATCTCTGAAGTCCCTTCAAACCCTACAGTGCTAGCACCATGAATGAAAGGGACCTGGGGATAATAATAGACCACAGTATGAATATGAGCCAGCAGTGTGATGCTGTAGCCAGTATGGCATATAATACCCTGGTATGCATCCATCAGTGCATCTCCAGCAAAACCAAGGAGGTGATTCTTCTGCTCTGCTCAACACTGGTGAGCCTGCAGCTGGAGTACTGCGTCCAGTTCTGGGCACCACACTTTAACAAGGAGAGAGTCCAAAGAAGAGCCACCTGCGTGCTCAGAGTCTTACATGGCAAGCCATATGAGGAAAGGCTGAGGGATCTGGGACTCTTTAGCTTGAGGAAAAGAAGGCTGAGAGGGGACCTGATAGCAGCTTACCCCTACACTATGGGAGTACATCAAGGGCTCAGTGATCAACTGTTCATCAGTTTAACCGAGGGGAAAACCAGGAGTAATGGTCACAAACTCCTGGAAGTCTGATTCAGGCTCAACATTAGGAAAAACTTCACAGTCAGGGTGTCACAGACTAGAATAAACTCCCTCCAGAGGTGGTGGTACTGCCTACCCTGGAACCCTTCAGGAGGAGACTAGACAGTCACCTTGCTGGGGGTCACGTGAGCTCTGGTTATCTTTTCTGCTTGGTGCAGGGGTCTGGACCCGGTGATCTTCTGAGGTCCCTTCTGGCCTTGCGATCTATGAATCTGACACGAATGGAAGTTTTGTTTTTTTTTTCCTCAAGTTACTAAAGTATAAATAGGAAATTTGCAGCAAAACAGACTGATTGTACACTGCTTATTTGCTGTTAGTTTATGAAACTGAAGCTCATGTACTCTTTATATTTTTCAGGACTTGGCACTTAATTGTTCTTTCAAGACCTGAGAGATGTAATAAGAATGTATACCTTATAAACTGACTCTTCATTTTATATGATGTTCCTTCCCCTCAAACTTCTTCAAAGCATTAAGAAGTGGCTAAAATATTGTATTGAAAGGATGGTTGAAATGCCACTGCTTTGTGTAGTGTGGGTAGTTGTTTTCTTCCATCTCTTCATGCAACAAGAAATGGAGGTGTGGGGAAGAGAGGGCATGAAGAGAGGGAATAAGACACTTTTGAGATAGTGGAATATCTATTGGAAGAGTTCCTGATGGCTTTATTAGGTGTGGATTCGCTGGATAAAAGGAAGCTGATATTTTTGGCTGAGGAAGTGAATTTTAGTAGTACGGGAATTGGAGTTGAATCAAAGGCCAGGGGGATAAGAAAAGAGGAAACTGGGGTGGGCGTTGATCATCCCCCCCCCCCCCCCCC